TAGACCAGCCAGTAGACCAGTAGACCAGCCAGTAGACCAGTATGCCAGCCAGTAGACCAGCCAGTAGACCAGTAGACCAGCAGATCAGTAGACCAGTAGACCAGCCAATAGACCAGTAGACTAGCCAGTAGACCAGCCAGTAGACCAGTAGATCAGTAGACCAGTAGACCAGCCAGTAGACCAGCCTTATCCGCTGGACAGACAGGAAAACACCTGGCTATATTTAGAACACTGTCTCAATGGGTCACAACCAATAGGAAGACCTTCCATCATGTCAGAGGAGAATTTATCCATCACTGCTGCCTTTCTGTCTAGTTGTGACAACATGGATGTGTGTCTGTCTGTGGGTCTTTTGATGTGTTGACCCTCTGTCTGCCAGGGCCATCAGACCAGCTCCATCCTGCCAGGTTCTGAGGAGGAACTTTTCTGTCTGTGTTAGAAGTGTCAGGTCTCAGGGCACACGTGGAATGCTGCATCTGCAGTCATGTCGAGACACACAGGAGCATAGCAACGTGCTGCAGAACATTCCAACACATAACACCGAACACATACCTGATGGTCTCACCCTCACGCATCAAACACAGAACACGCCACATACCTGGGGGTCTCACCGTCACGTATTCAACACATAACACATACCTCACAGTCACTATGCAGTGGGTGCAGGTGGAGGTGGAACCAGAATGTTAAGAATAAAATACCCTTTCCATCTAGCAAACCATTGTGGACGGGAATCTGTATGTCAGTACAACAGGGGTCATGTTGAGACCACCCGAAAAATGGTGACCCTAACCTAGAGACAGGCAGGGTCAGGGGAACTGCCATAACAACGTCCTGTCAAACGCTGACTCCAAACATTCTGCATGTGTTCCTAATGGCACCCTATTCCCTATATAGTACACTGCTTTTGGTCAAAAGTAGTGCACTATATAAAGAATAGGGTGTCATTTGGGACGCACATCTCTATCAGCTCATAACCTTCCAGTCACATGACATGCTGCAGTAGTTAGTTACCATGGTCAGGTTATTCTGAGCCCCTCATCATGACAGCAGCAGCTCAGACTCTAACATCATATTCTCTCTCTCCACTGCTTTCACACCCACTCCAAAACTCTCATGTAAGAGGCCGAGGGGTGTGTGCATGCATGCGGTAGGGGTGGTCTAGATCCTGGAATCAGCCTGGGGCTTCTAGGGAAGTAATCAGTAACCCTGGCCTGAGGTCAGTGTTACAGAGCCTGGCGCGCACACACACACACACACACACACACACACACACACACACAGTGTTTCCCGGCCAGACGTTGGAACCATTGTGCAGTAGTGTGACAGTGGGTTAGGGTTAAGACATTGTGTACAGTGTGAAGGTGGTCTCTATGCAGCCTGTCTGTCTCTGACTCAGACCTTGGTGGTGTTCCGCATGCCTCTGCAGCTTTCTGACTCTGTACTCTGTTCTGAGACTGAGAACCAGACTGCATCAGGACTGGACAGCACAAAGCCACATCATTCTGTTCCCACTAATCTAATTAGTCATTCACCTGTTGACTGTGATCCTGATCCAGACATGGTACCTATACAGACACAGGCCGTTAGCAGGGTTTCCATACAGCTGCCACAAAACGTACCTAGCACCACCTCTCCATCCGACACTTGCTGCATCGCTTCCCTTGCTAAGCCTGTCTAATAGGCAGACTAACACCTGACCTGGGGACAGTAAACCACTCAGCTGTCTCACACACTTTATAAAACAAGGAACAGAAGAGGATACAATGGACAGCTCTGCTGTGGACTTCTCATTATATCCAAACCGGTATGGATGGCCTTTATATATATACAGTTGAAGTCGGAAGTTTACATACACCTTAGCCAAATACATTTAAACTCAGTTTTTCACAATTCCTGACATTTAATCCTAGTAAAAATTCCCTGTTTTAGGTCAGTTAGGATCACCACTTTATTTTAAGAATGTGAAATGTCAGAATAATAGTAGAGAGAATGATTTATTTCAGCTTTTATTTATTACATCACATTCCCAGTGGGTCAGAAGTTTACATACACTCAATTAGTATTTGGTAGCATTGCCTTTAAATTGTTTAACTTGGGTCAAATGTTTCGGGTAGCCTTTCACAAGCTTCCCACAATAAGTTGGGTGAATTTTGGACCATTCCACCTGACAGAGCTGGTGTAACTGAGTCAGGTTTATAGGCCTCCTTGCTCACACACGCTTTTTCAGTTCTGCCCACACATTTTCTATAGGATCAGGGCTTTGTGATGGCCACTCCAATACCTTGACTTTGTTGTCCTTAAGCCATTTTGCCACAACTTTGGAAGTATGCTTGGGGTCATTGTCCATGTGGAAGACCCATTTGCAACCAAGCTTTAACTTCCTGATTGATGTCTTGAGATGTTGCTTCAATATATCCACATAATTTTCCTTCCTCATGATGCCATTTATTTTGTTTAGTGCACCAGTCCCTCCTACAGCAAAGCACCCCCACATTAGACCAGAGGACATTTCTCCAAAAAGTACAATCTTTGTCCCAATGTGCAGCTGCAAACCGTAGTCTGGCTTTTTTTATGGCAGTTTTGGAGCAGTGGCTTCTTCCTTGCTGAGCAGCCTTTCAGGTTATGTCGATATAGGACTTTTTTACTGTGGAGATAGATACTTTTGTACCTGTTTCCTCCAGCATCTTCACAAGGTCCTTTGCTGTTGTTCTGGGATTGATTTGCACTTTTCGCACCAAAGTATGTTCATCTCTAGGAGACAGAACGCATCTCCTTCCTGAGCGGTATGACGGCTGCGTGGTCCCATGGTGTTATACTTGCGTACTATTGTTTGTACAGATGAACGTGGTACCTTCAGGCATTTGGAAATTGCTCCCAAGGATAAACCAGACTTGTGGAGGTCTACAATATTTTTTTGTGTCATGCACAAAGTAGATGTCCTAACCGACATGCCAAAACTATAGTTTGTTAACAAGAAATTTGTGGAGTGGTTGAAAAACGAGTTTTAATGACTCCAACCTAAGTGTATGTAAACTTCCGATTTCAACTGTATATACAGTGGGGAGAACAAGTATTTGATACTGTACCAAATATTAAGTTCTGCTTTTCTGATGTATCAAATACTTATGTCATGCAATAAAATGCAAATTAATTACTTAAAAATTATACAATGTGATTTTCTGGATTTTCGTTTTAGATTCCGTCTCTCACAGTTGAAGTGTACCTATGATAAAAATTACAGACCTCTACATGCTTTGTAAGTAGGAAAACCTGCAAAATCGGCAGTGTATCAAATACTTGTTCTCCCCACTGTATATCACTTAAAACGTTCATTCTTGCTGCCATCCTTAGTTCATGAATTACATTTCCCAGCTAATAAGAGGAATGTTGTTTACATTAGTAGAGAGAAAATATATTTAAAATACTTTCTGTAGCTAGCTGAAGGCAGCCTGAATATAAAATTGATTAAATTGAGGTTTTGTGTCACTGGCCTACAAACAATACCCCATAATGTCAAAGTGGAATTATTTTTGTAGATCTTCTTACAAATTCATTAAAATGTAAAGGTGAAATGTCTTCAGTCAATAAGTATTCAACCCCTTTGTTATGCCATGCCTAAATAAGTTCAGGACTAAAAATGTGCTTAACAAGTCACATAATAACTTGCATGGACTCACTCTGTGTGCAATAATAGTGTTTAGCATGATATTTGAATGACTACCTCATCTCTATACCCCACACATACAATTATCTGTAAGGTCCCTCAGTTGAGCAGTGAATTTCAAACAGATTCAACCACAAAGACCAGGGAGGTTTTCCAATGCCTCGCAAAGAAGGGTATTTATTGAGCATGGTGAAGTAATTAATTACACTTTGGATGGTGTATCAATACACCCAGTCACTACAAAGATACAGGCGTCCTTCCTAACTCAGTTTCCAGAGAGGAAGGATACTGCTCAGGGATTTTACCATGAGGCCAATGGTGACTTTAAAACAGTTACAGAGTTTAATGGCTGTGAAAGGAGAACACTGAGGATGGATCAACAACATTGTAGTTACTCCACAATATTAACCTAAATGACAGAGTGAAAAGAAGGAATCATGCACAGAATACAAATATTACAAAACATGCATACTGTATGCAATAAGGCACTAAAGTAAAACTGCAAAAAATGTGGCAATGAAATTAACTTTATGTCCTGAATACAAAGTGTTATGTTTGGGGCAAGTCCAACACAACACATCACTGAGTATCACTCTTGATATTTTCAAGCATGGTGGTGGTTGCATCATGTTATGGGTATGTTTGTCATCGGCAAGGACTAGGGAGTTTTTTAGGATAAATATAAACGGAATAGAGCTAAGCACTTGCAAAATCCTAGAGGAAAACCTGGTTCAGTCTGCTTTCCAACAGACACTGGGAGAAAAGATTCACCTTTCAGCAGTATATACACTGGAGTTGCTTACGGAGATGACATTGAATCTTCCTGAGTGGCCTAGTTACAGTTTTGACTTAAATCGGCTTGAAAATCTATGGCAAGACTTGGAAATGGTTTTCTATCAATGATCAACAACCAACTTGATAGAGCTTGAAGAATTTAAAAAATAATCATTTGCAAATATTGTACAATCCAGGTGTGCAAAGCTCTTAGAGATTTACCCAGATAGACTCACAGCTGTAATCGCTGCCAAAGGTGATTCTAACATGTATTGACTTAGGTGTGTGAATACTTATGTAAATTAGATATTTCTGTATTTCATTTTTAATAGATTTGCAAAAAAATGTAAAAACCGATTTTCACTTTGTCATTATGGGTTATTGTGTGTAGATGGGTGAGAGAGACAAATCAATGTAATCTATTTTGAATTCAGGCTGTAACACAACAAAATGTGGAATGAGTCAAGGGGTATGAATACTTTCTGAAGGCACTGTATGTAAAGTGAGAGCTAGCTTATGATATCTATACTACATGGTTTCACCCAGATCCAGACAGACAGGCACAGGGTATGCAAGAGTCGAGAGGAGGAGGGAGAGCCTTAGAGGAACTTACGACTGTCTTCTTGGTCCTGGCTCTGGTTCCTTCAGCTGAGCTACGAGGGGCCAAGGTCTTGTGTTGGTCCTGTCTGGGACATTCTCCGGTGTATGGTTCCCATCGCTGCAGCAGTGTACTGTCCTCCTCGTTAAGAGATTGGTTTACTGCCGTTCCAGACACAGCTCCATACTGCAACAACAGCACAACAATAACCGTCAACACTGGATCCCTGTCTGTCTGCCTGTCTGCCTGCCTGTCTGCCTGTCTGTCTGTCTGTCTGTCTGCCTGTCTGCCTGCCTGCCTGCCTGCCTGTCTGTCCGCCTGTCTGTCTGCCTGTCTGTCGGTCAGTCGGTCAGTCTGTCTCTGGGATGGTCAGTGGCAGGGAACGCAGTCTTCAGTTCCAGTTCTATCGGACAGACAGTAACAGACAGTGACAAGGCAGCCTGTATCATGTGTTAATCGTCCTTTGAAAGGACAATGGACCTTGTAAATATGTCGTGTGATCTCCTCCACCGGCGGCTGGCTGTCGTTAGTTAAAGCTGTCTCAGTGAATGTGTGTTATGGCTGCTGATGTGATGCCTGCAGGCATGTACCCCTCTGCTAACCACTCTGTAACCATTCCTAACATGCTCAATCATACAAACAACCTCCTCTACCCACACAACAAGACCTCTGTCTGTGTGCTGATCACATACAGAACCATACAGGCCTCTGTCTGTTGTTGCCCCCTGCTAACTAACTGCTGGGGTATGTCATGATGCAAGCCTCCATGAGAGGAGTCTTCTGTAGGACCAGAGCTACAAGGTCCCGGTAACAACATCTCCACACAATGGCTGTTTGTCTGTCTCTGCCCCGCTTGGCCCACCACCCTGGCCAGACTACTGCTAGACACACTACACACTATAGCAGCTTTTCTAACAGCCAGCTCCCTCCTCTCACATCATAAAATGGATGCCAGCAGCAGTCAGAGAAGCAGAATCAAAGACAGCCTAACAATGGCCATAGTGTCCCAGACAGACAGCTTCCACTGTATGACAACATGCTGTATGTATATCAACATATATCACAGTTATCCTTATGGCTTATGACGGAACAGTCCTTCCCAGACCTACAAGCTTCTGAGGCTGCGTCCCAAATGGCACCCATAGGGCTTTTGTCAAAAGTATTGCACTATAAAGGGAATAGGGTGCCATTTGGGACTCATCCTGAGTCTAGTCTTCTCTCTGTCTGGGTCAGTGGCTTAGCTAGGTGAATGTATGTGTAATGTACAGTATATGATATAGCAGCATGGACGTATAGTCCTGTTAGACACCTGTTGAATGACTATAACAATAATCCATCAGGATTTCCTCTTCACAAAGCTCTGGAAATTGATTATAGACAGCAGAGAGCATGAAAAAGCATGTGCCATCATGACAGGCTGCAGAGGAATGTATACATTTCCCATATGTATCACTGGTTAGTACACAGCTCGCATTTCAATTAACATGGCCATGTCACCTGCTGTCTGTCTGTGTGCAGTGCGGGGTGTGTGTGTGTTTGTGTGTGTGTGTGTTTGTGTGACTGACCTGTTGTCTGCGTGCTGTGCAGGGTGTGTCCGAGGGGGAGGAGGATACACTCAGAGCCTCCTCTATGTCCAGGTTGAGCTGGTCCAGTTTCCTCATCAGCTGGCTCATAGACTCACACAATGGGGACTGAGGCTGGACCAGGGGAGACTCCTGGAGGAAGAGAAAGTCAGGGGGGAGAGGGTGTGATTAGACAGCACTGGAGAAACCTATAGAGTCTGCAGAAACAGACTATTGTGACAGCATGTACTAAACCAGAGCGTGCAGTTATCAGGAACAAAGTTACGGTAAATGAAATAGGACCACAACAATCACTACTCTGTAGTTGGACAGGAAAAAAAGAAATCATTCAGAGAGTTACGATGTCATTCTCTGGATAATAATGTTGAAACAGTTCAGACAGTTGGAGAAGGTTATGAGCACCAGGTGACAACTAGAAACTTTAAATACATTTAAGAGATCATTAGAGAAGCAGAAAAATACTTTTATAAATGTCAGAGTGAACATCAACAGCAGTAAACAGTACAGACCACCATAGATGGAAATGTGATAGCTTCACTACATAGTTCTCAGCAGCCATCACGCAGTAACACAGACCTTAACCTCCAGTCCAGATCCTCTAACACTGCTCATGTTTGTCTCTGGATGCATCCCAAATGGCACCCTAGTCCCTTGATAGTGCACTACTTTTGACCAGGACCCATAGGCACTATATAAGGAATAGGGTGTCATTTGGGATGCATACAGAGACAAACATGAGCTGTGTTAGAGGATCTGGAGGTTACGATCTCTCTCTCTCTTTGAGACCCTTGTTGCGCAACAATGTGACTCAGAAGACAAGCAGCCGACAACAAAGCCATTCATTCATTTCCTGGAATTAAACTGTGGAACTGTCATCTGTGTTCTGAGTGTGTCTGTCTGTCTGTTGGAGTCCCTGGAAGGCCCTGGCCCCCGGCTCTGTGTTCTGTCTGTTAGGGTCCCCAGGAGCCCCTGTGCCTCCAGCTCTTTCTACATGCTCCTTGGGTGGAGATGGGTGTGACCCTCCAATTGGCCTCCTGTTCTTCCTGCTTCAATGTAGAGGCAGTGAGTCTCTCTCACAACATACAGTAAATAGGTGCGACTTTCCCTCACAATTAAAATCTTTATGCTTTTTTATTCTAGTTCAAGTTAAAGCCATGACGTTTTGGCTGTCAATGGCCTTCATCAGAATGAAAACAAAATGGGAATGGACAAGAAAATATAGGAAATACAATTGGTGAGAAACAACAATCAATGTGGAGACAGGGAACTCACTTAATGCATCTAGAGGTGTTAACACATGTAGAGAATTCCTACAACATAAAGATGTTACTAGTAGGGGGCTAGTGATCAGAGCAGAAGTCAGTCCACCTAGGGTCAACTGGTTGACCTCTGACAGGGGAAACTCCTCAATCTGTCTGTCTGTCTGTCTGTCTGTCTGTCTCTCTGTGCTATATCTAGAACACACTGTCTCCCACTGTCTCTCTTCTCTCTGACAGCCACACACAGTGCTGCCTGTCTGCCTCGGAATTCCAGAGAACGCTTGAAGCTGAGAGAGACACTAACCATGATTCCTTTCACCTCCATTCTCTGGCCCCATCAATAGTGAGAAACACTGATGCCATGGCAATGCTGTCGGTATGAGACAGACAGTAGTGTTATCTTCAGGGGAAAGCTAAATGTGAGAGGGACGATAACTTCATCAGGGCAAATTGGCCACATTGTAAACCCCAAGGCCAGATCTTTGACATGGTAATGAGGAGCTAAGTGTGTGAACTCTGGGCACCATGCCTGGACCATACCACCCAGTGAGAGAGGCACAGATCACCAGTCAGGGAGAGGGCTGGAGATGACTGGGGTAGAGATGGAGCAGGGTGGCATGTGAAAGGGCACAACGTCTAGGCTAACGGGTTACTCCGCTGAAAAAAAGTTAAAACCAATTCTCTCCTAACTTAAAACCCATACTCTCCTTTCTAGGAGTTACCCGCTAAGTTCACAGGTCTATCGCCTGGTGAGAACAGTCACACCAGTAGAATCCTTTCACTTATAAACTAGAGAAAGATAAACAACATCACAGAAACATGTATATTTTTACAGTATACACAAACATACCATAACCAACTGATTGATGCACCGAGAGAGAGCGGGAGAGAGAGAGAGATGTGTGCATAGGCCATGCAGGATTACTATGTAGCAATGGTGCCCTCAGATGGCTAGTATGAAAAGCTACAGTTAAAATGGACTGTCTGAAGAACAAACATGAGTGCTGCCTGTCAGAGCTCCTGGTTGCGTCCCAAATGGCACCCTGTTTCCTATTTAGTGCACAACTTTTGACCAGGGCCAAGTTTAAACCAGTTCCAGGTATTCCTTTCCCCAAACAACCTTTATGCTCACAAACAGCCCATTCCCAGTGTTGTGTCATACAGCCTGTAAAGCCTGCAAGGGCTATCAGCAGAGACAGTGGGAGTGTTCCCTACCTAACCTCTCCCCTCTGTTTTACTGTATGTTCTTATCTCAAGGGTTAGGGTTGGTATTATATGTTGTTATCTACAGAGGGTTTAGCTGAGGAATGACAGCTATGCACTGTCAGAGATCTGGTGTCTCTGACACGGGTGAAGTTAAACCATAGATTTATGATGTAAACATGATTCATAAACGTCCAGAAGAGACTTTTAGAGGTCAGTAAACCTTGGAAGATGGGGTCACTCATAGTCTGGTAACTAACATTAAACCTGGAGGGATGGGGTCACAGCCTGGTAGCCAGTAAACCTGGAGGGATGGGGTCACAGCCTGGTAGCCAGTAAACCTGGAGGGATGGGGTCACAGCCTGGTAGCCAGTAAACCTGAAGGGATGGAGTCACAGCCTGGTAACTACCAAGGTCAGGGGGACGGTTGGGAGAAAACACCACAGAGCTGCTGCACTTGGCTCCTTATTCCTTGCAATGCACTACTTCAGACCAGAGCCGAGGAGTGCACTATAGACATTGAAGAGGAGAATGAAGCTGAATGAAGCTGTAGATACTGTTGGTAATGGGAGACTAAGTTCACTGTTACTGTAATAGACCCGACGTTGCCTGCATAGGAGCTCTGTCAAAATAGGACTGGAGGGAAAGCAAAGGCTGTTTAAGGCTGTCTGAATTCCTGCAAGGCCTTCTGAGTTTTGTGTTTTAAAATGCTGGGGGAAATGCTACAGTGAGGGAAAAAAGTATTTGATCCCCTGCTGATTTTGTATGTTTGCCCACTGACAAAGACATGATCAGTCTATAATTTTAATGGTAGGTTTATTTGAACAGTGAGAGACAGAGGGAAATAAGTATTTGACCCCTCTGCAAAACATGACTTAGTACTTGGTGGCAAAACCCTTGTTGACAATCACAGAGGTCAGACGTTTCTTGTAGTTGGCCACCAGGTTTGCATACATCTCAGGAGGGATTTTGTCCCACTCCTCTTTGCAGATCTTCTCCAAGTCATTAAGGTTTCGAGCCTGACGTTTGGCAACTCGAACATTCAGCTCCCTCCACAGATTTTCTATGGGATTAAGGTCTGGAGACTGGCTAGGCCACTCCTTTGTTGCCTTGGCTGTGTGTTTTGGGTCATTGTCATGCTGGAATACCCATCCACGACCCATTTTCAATGCCCTGGCTGAGGGAAGGAGGTTCTCACCCAAGATTTGACGGTACATGGCCCCGTCCATCGTCCCTTTGATGCGGTGAAGTTGTCCTGTCCCCTTAGCAGAAAAACACCCCCAAAGCATAATGTTTCCACCTCCATGTTTGACGGTGGGGATGGTGTTCCCACCGTCATAGGCAGCATTCCTCCTCCTCCAAACACGGTGAGTTGAGTTGATGCCAAAGAGCTCGATTTTGGTCTCATCTGACCACAACACTTTCACCCAGTTCTCCTCTGAATCATTCAGATGTTCATTGGAAAACTTCAGACGGCCCTGTATATGTGCATTCTTGAGCAGGGGGACCTTGCGGACGCAGCAGGATTTCAGTCCTTCACGGCGTAGTGTGTTACCAATTGTTTTCTTGGTGACTATGGTCCCAGCTGCCTTGAGATCATTGACAAGATCCTCCCGTGTAGTTCTGGGCTGATTCCTCACCGTTCTCATGATCATTGCAACTCCACAAGGTGAGATCTTGCATGGAGCCCCAGGCCGAGGGAGATTGACAGTTCTTTTGTGTTTCTTCCATTTGCGAATAATCGCACCAACTGTTGTCACCTTCTCACCAAGCTGCTTGGCGATGGTCTTGTAGCCCATTCCAGCCTTGTGTAGGTCTACAATCTTGTCCCTGACATCCTTGGTGAGCTCTTTGGTCTTGGCCATGGTGGAGAGTTTGGAATCTGATTGATTGATTGCTTCTGTGGACAGGTGTCTTTTATACAGGTAACAAACTGAGATTAGGAGCACTCCCTTTAAGAGTGTGCTCCTAATCTCAGCTCGTTACTTGTATAAAAGACACCTGTAACCATTAGAATAACCTACCATTAGAATTATAGACTGATCATTTCTTTGTCAGTGGACAAACGTACAAAATCAGCAGGGGATCAAATACTTTTTTCCCTCACTGTAGATCAATGTACTCCTACACACTCATTCCAACAGAGTAATATATCAGAATGCAATAACAACAAACAGTGGGGAGCAGACTATTGAAAGTGTTTGTATAGCAAAGCACTGTGTTTGTATTGAGCCTTAGTGGAATTCAATAATGGAATACTTTTTGTATCAAGCATCTGATCTAGGATCAGGTCCCCTCTGTCCATGTAATCTTATTCATTATGACCTATAAGGCAGAACTGATCCTAGATCAGCACTCCTACTCTGAGACCCTTGATACATATGGGCCCTGGGCAGGAGGCAGGAAATACACAGCCTGGGGGAGCAACAGTCACATCTCCTCATTGAGAGAATAGGCTGGATTATATTCATATACAATGGATTCATATACATGAATAAACTGTATCTAATGGTGTTAAACTACAGTTAGTACACAGTGCCTAACCCTGACATAAACTTTCAAACACATCTCTACTGAACCATTCAACAAAGACATTAATATTACATCAATATGTGAGGAATATAGGTGGGACTATCTTTACAGTTGTGTCTCTAAAATGCGTCTGTAATGACTGTCAATAAACAGTAGCCTACCTCTGTGCTGCTGCTCTCAGTCTCTGCCTCGTAGCCGCTGTGGTTCTGGTTTTTGGAGGAAGAGGAGGAGGAGCGGTGGGAGCTGGCTGTAGTGTTGGTTGCAGAGCTGACTAGTGCCTCAGCCTGGGGACTCATAGATCCTCTCTTCTTAACTACTTTGTCTCTGTTGCTGCTCCTTCTTCTCCTACTGACCAGGAACTCCCTGCTCTGAAGCAGCTCTGGGAATATGTCATCATCATCCCCTTCTTCATCATCATCACCTTCATCATCCTCCTCTGAGGAAGACTCCCTGCAGTCAGAGCTGTTGTTGATGAAGACGCTGTGGTCGGTGCTAGAGTGACAGGTAGAATGAGTACAAGTGTAGTCTGAGAAGGTGATGGAGCTAGGTTTGTGTTTGATGATGCGGGGGTGATCGCAGAGGCCTAGCCCCGCCAAGGGGGCCTCAGAGAGGGCCAGGGGGAGGGAGGGAGGTCGGAAGGGATCCATGTTGTTGTCCACACTGACCATTAGAGAAGGGATGGAGCTAAAAGCCTCTGATTGGACCACAGAGATAGTGATCTGGCTGACCTCTGTCTCTGATTGGACCAGAAGGGTAGGGATATGTCCATTTTCTGTGGGGACTAGAGGGACGGGGACATGGTTGTTCTCCACAGGCCCCTCTGAGTGGTCCTCAGGCTGGCTGTCTGTTTCTGTCCGCCTGGGTGACTCCTGCTCTAGCTCCATGTCTGTCTCTGTCTGCCTGGGTGAGGTATACCCCAGCTCCATGTCCTCTAGCTGACCAGAGAGGTTAGCATCCAGGGTATGTCCTGATTCTACAGGTCTGTCACTGTCCTCAACCTCCAGGTTTCTCTCTATCCTAGGCGCAAGAACATTGGAGGCAAGGCAGGGGTCCTCAGCTGCTCCTGGAGAAGTGCTGTGTAAATTCAATCCATTGTTATTGGCATCATCAGGTGATGGTGATGTCACACTGCCTGGCTCACTGAGGAGACCTGCGGGACAGACGATCTGGACTGGGTCTAGAGGGTCAGGAGGGGAGACATCAGAACCAGACTCTGCTCGCCCTGCTGGCCCTCCTGGACCTCCAGTAGTAACAGCTAGATCTCCCTCTATCCCAGGAGCTCCAGTACTTTTATAGTCACTACCAGCTTCCCTGTCCTGCTGGGGTGTGTCCTGGTGGTCTAGTTCCAGTTTCGACAGCTCCAGACTTAGAGGTCCTGGCAGACAGACATCCTCACTCCTCTCTGTGGAGCTGTTGTCATCATGAGAAGACTCTGGAACACAGTCTGAGGAGGACTGGTGTGTCTGTGTCTGTGGTTGTGGCTGTTGCTGTATCTGTGTCTGTGCCGGTGGCTGTGTCTGTGGTGAGAAGGTCCTGCCAGGTGATGCTGACATGGCCAGAGACTGTCGCTCCTCCAGAGTAACCATCAGAGCTGTGTCCATGTTGTCTCTACAGTCTGTTACAGTGTGTTACAGTGTGTTACTAGGGAACAGGTAGTCTGGTGGTGTGACTGGTGGTCAGGTAGATCCAGAAGGACTGCTGTCTGATGTAAGCGCTATATGGATTTGCCATGTTCCTCTCAGACCACCTCAGCACCTGGATCAGCAACACCAACCTTCACACGGATCAAACAGCAGATCACTTGAAACAAATAGAGAAGATACAGCATTAAAAACTAACAAGATTACAGCATTAAAAACTAACAAGATACAGCATTAAAAACTAACAAGATTACAGCATTAAAAACTAACAAGATACAGCATTAAAAACAGACAAGATACAGCATTAAAAACTAACAAGATTACAGCATTAAAAACAGACAAGATACAGCATTAAAAACAGACAAAATACAACATTAAAAACTAACAAGATTACAGCATTAAAAACAGACAAGATACAGCATTAAAAACAGACAAGATACAGCATTAAAAACAGACAAGATACAGCATTAAAAATAGACAAGATACAGCATTAAACAAAGAGAGAAGATAACGTTACAACATTAAAAGAACAGAGAAGATACAGCAATATAGAAGACACAGCATTGGAGAGGATACAGATAAGATACCGCATTAAAGAAGATACAGAGAATATACTGCATTAGAGAATATACTGCATTAGAGAAGATACTGCATTAGAGAAGTTACTTAGAAGATACTGCATTAAACAAACGGACAATAAAAAACATTAGTTCCAAGTCATAAACACCTCACAATGACATTGGTCAAAGACTGCCTGCTGTCCTCGGGTTCAGATCCATCACACACATCCATCTCAACTGAAAGAATAGTAATATCTTTACCTTTAAGCACAGATTTACCAAGCTAGTATTTAGTAAGTGTGTTTCATCTCTCCCCTTCTGACTCTCATACTAGCAGTGAACTAACTACAGCTGGAGTGAAGCCAGAGAGTCCAGCGGAGCTAATATTCAGGCTGTGTCCCAAATATCACCCTATTTCGTATATATTGCAGGGTCCATAGGGCTCTGGTCAAAAGTTGTGCACTATGTAGGGAATAGAGTGCCATTTGGGACACAGCCCCAGAGAGGAGCTGCTAGCTGTGAATCTGAACATCTGGCTGCGATCGCAACGTTCAAGTCTGGATCTGTTTCAGACACTACGGCAGTGACATCTCTGCACACAGGAATCTAGCTACTCTCCCCAGCAGCTGATGTACACACACACACACACACACACACACACACACACACACACACACACACACACACACACACACACACACACACATTCCATAACACTCCACTCAGTGTAGGGATCACCAACTGTCTCAGGGTACAAAGGGAGTCTTTTTTCAGACTGCTCTTTCCAAACAAGCTGATAACAAAGTCACATCAGTAACTGCATTCCCTACATTTCACTGATAGATACACTAACCCCAACTGTGAGGTCATGCTACAGCTTAAACACAGTCATGAATGCCTTTGCAACTGTCCTCATATTCCCTGGACAATAACTTTGCCTTCTGTATCTATTGATTAGTATGGTTGATCTGTATGGTGTAATGGATGATTATTTATTAGTATGGTTGATCTGTATGGTGTAATGGATGATTATTGATTAGTATGGTTGATCTGTATGGTGTAATGGATGATTATTTATTAGTATGGTTGATCTGTATGGTGTAATGGATGATTATTGATTAGTATGGTTGATCTGTACACTCTTAGAAAAAGGAGTTCCAAAAGGGTTCTTCGGCTCACCCCATAGGAGAACCCTTTTTGGATCCAGGTAGAACCCGTTTTGGTTCCAGGGAGAACCCTTTTTTTCAGGTAGAACCCTTTTGGGTTTCATGTAGAACCCACGGTTCCAGGGAAAACCCAAAAGGGTTTTACCTGGAAACAAAGGGTTCTCCCTGGAACCAAAAAGGGTTCTTCAAAGGGTTATCCTATGGGGACAGCCAAATAAACCTTTTAGGTTCTAGATAGCACCTTTTTTAAAGTTTGTATGGTGTAATGGATGACTTCTAAGCTGACACACAGCTATGCATGAAACAGCTATGGAGAATCAGAGAGTTGGTTCCCATGTAGCTACAGTACAGCCTGCTGCTCTGTTGCCACACACACACACACACAAACACACACACACACACACACACACACACACACACACACACACACACACACACACACACACACATCCTGCTGCCCTGAGAACCTAGCAGCTGCTGCATCTTGGACCATGGCCCTGACTTTAGCTCTTATAACAACTGCTCAAATACACACACACATACACACATACACACACACATGAATGGGCACGAATGCACACACAGGCATGCACGAATGCACACACAGGCACACACACATACATGCACATATACTGTGCCAATGTATCAGAGAAAAGACATGCACCTGGTCTGGTCTGGCAGGAACATGGGGCTTTACCCTTCAAAACCTGATAACTTAAAACCTTTACAGCCAGATGATGACACAACCTCTGGCTAACATCCCACTAACATGTATAATAATAATAATAATAATAATAATAATAATAATAATAATTAATATTATTATTATTATTATTATTATTATTATTATTACATTAATAAGTACACACACACACACACACCTACCCCATTGTGTTGCCCAACAAGTTGACACAAGGGTGGACTACAGCTAGTCAGCTAGTGTACAGCAGATTATATCTTCTAGGAAGTTAGCCCTGTTCTAAACCCACTATGAATCCAGCCTCAAACCATACAGCCTCATACAGATAGGATGATACACACCCACACACAATAATATACAGTAGATTCACATGGAGGGAGAGGAACACAGTGATAACAGAAACATGTGTGCAAGGTTTTTTTCTGCCATTGAAATCGTAAGCGTTTTTCAGGTTACATATTTTGGGGATGAAAAAGTACTTTCAGTGTAAACTTAACAACTAAAAAAATATATAGAGTATGTAGAAAATATAATGGACCTGTATATATTTAAATAATATAATATTTGAGAACTAACAATCACCAAAATAAAAGCTAGACAGTCAGGGAAGCCCAGTAATTTCTGGCAATTTTCTCGGGAAGGAAAATTGGTAGATTCTCAAGACAATATTTAACCCTAGTCTCTACATGTTTTAATTCTGTGAAACAGATCCCACAACTGAGGAATTCAATCTATTGTTTCATTTTATCTGAAAAATGTTCCTGGATTTAGGAAACATACAACATTTCAAAAAGGTTATTGATCATCTATAAACTTGATCTACAAACACAATCAAAGAGTTGGATGTGGATATAGATATAGAGTTGGATATGGGTTACATTTAAAACAGTCAATGAAAGATCAAAGCATGTTGACACAAAACAAAGTAATACAACTTGATGAAGGCAGATAGTTGTAACAGCAGTTTTAACCTCTACAGCTCATACTAACCAGGACTAACAGGTCAGACAGACCTGGAAGTCACAGAGGGAAACAGTCTCAAAGGGCAATGAAAACAGAAAACCAACAGACAGAGAATGGAACCCTATTCCCCTTATAGTGCACTACTTTTGACCCGGGCCGATATGGATAGGGCTTTGGTCAAAAGTAATGCACTATATAGGGAATAGGGTGCCATTTGAGACACAAGTAGAGTCTTACCTGTTAGGTAGAAAACAGTCCTGTTTGTTGTCTGAACAGACAAACTGAGATCACAGCAGTAAAAGACAGAGTCCTATAGTGAAACCACAGTTCTCTTAAGACAAAAGAGAGTGCAGGGGAGAGAGGGACTAAGAGAGTCTCTGTCAGAAGAGACAGAGTAGAAGAGTCTCCAGTCAGAAGAGACAGAGTAGAAGAGTCTCCTGTCAGAAGAGACAGAGTAGAAGAGTATCCTGTCAGAAGAGACAGAGTAGAAGAGTCTCCTGTCAGAAGAGACAGAGTAGAAGAGTCTCCAGTCAGAAGAGACAGAATAGAAGAGTCTCCAGTCAGAAGAGACAGAGTAGAAGAGTATCCTGTCAGAAGAGACAGAGTAGAAGAGTCTCCAGTCAGAAGAGACAGAGTAGAAGAGTCTCCTGTCAGAAGAGACAGAGTAGAAGAGTCTCCAGTCAGAAGAGACAGAGTAGAAGAGTCTCCAGTCAGAAGAGACAGAGTAGAAGAGTCTCCTGTCAGAAGAGACAGAGTAGAAGAGTCTCCTGTCAGAAGAGACAGAGTAGAAGAGTCTCCAGTCAGAAGAGACAGAGTAGAAGAGTCTCCTGTCAGAAGTGAAGCCACTCTGTGTTTCCAGTCAGCATGTCAAGCAGGTCTTCCTCTGCAGGGCAACTCTGTCATCTCAACTATTCCTCAACTATACCTCTATCTGTCCTCCCTCATGGCCTAGTGGAGGTTAGTGCTGGCTATCTCTATGCATGTTGCTAGCGCTCTGACTGAGCCATTCAGAATATGTGTAAGGGCAAGGAATGTGAGAGTGAGTGTGTGCAGTTATGTGGGAGGTGGAAAGAGGAAAAGAGAAGAGATAGGAGGGGGAGAGAGAGAAGAACGAGAGAGAGAGAGGGGGGGGGGGGAGAAATGGAGTGAGGGAGTGAGGGAGAGGAGCAGTATTTGGTATTTAGCACAGTAAGAGAACAAGGTGATATGTGGTTCCAGCTAACACAACATGTTAGGCTATGAAGACAGAGTGAGCTCATGGCTGTATTGTCACTGGACTCAGAGTGTGTGTGTGTGTGTGTGTGTGTGTGTGTGTGTGTGTGTGTGTGTGTGTGTGTGTGTGTGTGTGTGTGTGTGTGTGTGTGTGTGTCATCCTATCTGGATGCAACAGCATGGCAGTCATTCCTGAGGCGCAGCAGAGCAGATTCCTACTGAGGAGGATTGGCACCATGCCTTGATATCCTGCTGTAGCTGGTTCAAATATAAAGACACACAGATAGCACAGATAAGGAATTCCAAAGGATCCTCTCAGGGTCAAAGATATGCTGCTATGTTGTAGGGAAAGGTGTCAAA